TACTCAGTGATCAAAAAGAATGAAATTTGCCATTTGCAACAACATGGGTGGAATTGGAGGGTAAAATGCTAAGCAAAATAAGTCAGAGAGAGACATATCATATAATTTCACTCATATGTGTTATTTAAAAAACAAAATAGATGAACCTAGGGGAAAAGAAGCAAAACTAATATAATAACACAGAGAGAGAGAAACCATAAGAGACTCTCAAATACAGAGAACAAACTGAGTTGCTGGAGGCATATTGGGTGTGCGGGTGGGCTAAATGGGTGATGGGCATTAAGAGGGCCACTTGTTGGGGTAAGCATTAGGTGTTATATAAAGTGATGAATAACTAAATTCTATTCTTGAAATCAAAAAAATGTTTTTAATTTTAAAAATAACAATAAAATAGATAAACCCACAGAGATTTTCATAATAAAAAAGGAGATGTCAACAAAATTGATACTCCTCTCATTTTAAAAAGAGAGGACACAAATAAACAAAATTACTAATGAAAGAGGAGAAATAACAACCAACACCACAGAAATACAAACAATTCTAACAGAATATTATGAAAACCTATTTGTCAACAAATTAGACAACTTGGAAGAAATGGATAAATTCCTAGAAACATAAAACTTACCAAAACCAAAGCAGGAAGAAATGGAAAAATTGAACAGACCAATCACCAGTAATGAAATTGAATCAGTAATCAAAAAACTCTCCCAAAACAAAAGTCCAGAACTAAATGGCGTCACAGGTTAATTCCTGTGACGTTTAAAAAGGAGTTAAAGAATATCCAACGAGAACAAGACTGTCTTTTCAACAAATGGTGTTGGGAAAACTAGACAGCAACATGCAAAAGAATGAAACTGGACCGCTTTCTTACACCACGCACAAAAATTAATTCAAAATGGATTTAAACCCTAAATGTGAGACCTAGAAACCATAAAAATCCTAGAAGAGAACACAGGCCATAACTTCTTTGACATCAACTGTAGCAACTTCTTTCTAGATATGTCTCCTGAGGCACGGGAAACAACAACAACAAAAAATACACTAAAAAAGCTTCTACACAACAAAGGAAACAATCAACAAAACTAAAAGGCAACCTATGGAATGGGAGAAGATATTTGCAAGTGACATATCCAATAAAGAGTTAATATCCAAAATACATAAAGAACTTATAAAACTCAACACCTAAAAAATAAATAATACAATTAAAAAATGGGCAGAAGACGTGACCAGACATTTCTCCAAAGAAGATATCTAGATGGCCAACAGACACAAGAAAAGATGCTCACCATCACTCATCATCACGGAAATGCAAATTAAAACTACAATGAGATATCACCTCACACCTGTCACAATGGCTAAAATTAACAACACCAAAAACAACAGGATATGGAAACAATGAGGATATGGAGAAAAGGGAACCTGTGTGCACTGTTGGTGGGAATGCAAACTAGTGCAGCCACTGTAGAAAACAGTATAGAGGTTCCTCAAAAAGTGAGAGATAGAACTACCCTACAACCCACAAATTACACTACTGAGTATTTACCCAAAGAATACAGAAACCCTAATTCAAAGGGATACATGCACCCCAATGTCTATTGCGGTATTATTTGCAATAGCCAAATTATGGAAGCAGCCCAAGCATCCATCAATTGATGAATGGATAAAGAAGATGTGTTATATATATAGAATGAAATATTCTTCAGCCATAAAAAAGAACGAAATCTTGCCATTTGCAATGATGTTGATAGAGCTAGAGAGTATAGTGCTAAGCAAAATAAGTCAGTGGGAGAAGGACATATTCCATATGATCTCACTCATATGTGGAATTTAAGAGAAAAATAAGCAAAGAAAAAAGAGAGAGAGAGAGAGAGACAAACCAAGAAACAGACTCTTAACTATAGAGAACAAATTAATAGTTACCAGAGGGGAGGTAGATACACTTATAAATAATAAAATAAAAATAAAATAAAATAAAAAAATCACTCTATAATGTAGGAATTAGGCACACTTTTCTAATGTAATAAAATATATCTTTTTTGGATCCAAATGGAGTAGAGTTATGACATTAATATATAGTTTTAAAAAACTGTTCATGGTGAGGTACTGATATAAAAATCATCCTTACCAAAGTCATAAACAAGACAAGGATGCCCATATCATCACAATTATTTAACATTGTATTGAAAATAATAGCCAACATAACAAGCTAAGAGGAAGATATTAAATGTATACAAGTATAAAAATTGGAAAAGAAGGAAAACTCCTATTATTTGCAGATAATATGGTTGCCTCACTAGAAAACCCAAATAATCAACTAAAATTATTCTATAAACAGTTACACTCAGTAAGGTAGTAGTGTATAAAAACATACAGAATTTAATAGATATAAGTAGAAACTACATATAAATAGAAAATGTAATAAAATAAAAAATTCCCATTTACAATGGGAATAAAAAATAATAAAATAACTAGTAATAAATTTAACAAGAGATGTAAGCCTAAATGAAAAAAACCAAAACTTTAAGACAACAATGATAGATACAAAATAAGATGAGCAAATGAAAAGACATGTGTTTTCAGAAACACATCATTATTAAAGACATTGATTTCCCCTAAGTTAATAAATAAATTTAAACATTTCAATAAACATTCCTATAAGGTTTGTTTTTCTGTTCTTTTTTTTTTTCAAGTAGGTGAATCAACCCTAAAGTTCATATTGAAAAGTAAAAACACTAGAGGGGCGCTTGGGTGGCTCAGTCGGTTGGTTGAACGTCTGACTTTGGCTCAAGTCATGATCTCACAGCTCGTGGGTTCAAGCCCCATGTCGGGCTCTGTGCTGACAGCTCAGAGCCTGGAGCCTGCTTTGGATTCTGTGTCGCCCTCTCTCTCTGCCCCTCCCCCATTCATACTCTGTCTCTGTCTCAAAAATAAACATTAAAAAAAATTTTTTTTAAAGTAAAAACACTAGAATAAAAGAAGAATAAATAATAAGGACGAGCACAGTCAGATTTATTGAAATACAGATCTTCCTTGACTTATGATAAGGTTTTGTCACATAAACCCATCATAAGTTGAAAATATCCTAAGTTGAAAATGCATTTAATACACCTAAACTACCCACCATCACAGCTTAGCCTAAGCCCACCTTAAATGTGCTCAGAACACTTACATTAGTCTACACTTGGGCAAAATCATCTAACACAAAGCCTATCTCATAAAGTGTTGAATATCTTGGGGCACCTGGGTGACTCAGTCAGTTGGGTGTCTAACTCTTGTTTTTGGCTCAGGTCATGATCTGCAGTTTGTGAGTTCGAGCCCCACACTGTCAGTGCAGAGCCTACTTAGGATTCTCTTTCTCTCTCTGTCTCTTTCTCTGCCCCTCCCCTGCTCATGCTCTCTCTCTCTCAAAATAAATAAACTTTAAAAACATATTCATTATCTCATGTAATTGATTGAATACTGTACTGAAAGCGAGTAACGGAATGGTTGTATGGGTACAGAATGGTTATAAGTGTATGTATGTAATGCATGTAATGTAATGTATGTAAGTGTATGATATGTGTGTATGTGACATGTGTTAAGTCTATGATATATATGTATGTAATGTATGTAAGTGTATGAAACCATGAAGGGTATCATGGTTACATGGCTGACTGGGAGTTGTGGCTCAGTGCTATTGCCCAGCATCATGAGAGAGCATCATACTGCATATTGCTAGTCCAGGAAAAGATCAAAATTCAAAATTCAAAGTACAGTTTCTACTGAACACATACCACTTACGCACCATTGTAAAGTCAAAAAATCCTAAGTGTAAATTGGGGGCTGTCTGTATACTTAAAAGTCTCAATGATTCAAGCAGTGTGGTGTGGTGCATGAACAGGGAGATAGTCAGAGGGATAGGATAGAAAAACCCAGAAATACACTCCAAAATATACAGGAATTTAGTAATAAAATTTCATCTCAAAACAGTGGGGCAAAATACACTATTTGACAGTTGTTGGGATCACTATGTAACCATTTGGAAAAGCAAAAAGTTGGATTCATATCTACATCTTATATTAGGATAAATTCCATATGGATCAATACTTAAAATGGAAACTAAAATATTAAAACTCCAGAAGAAAACATGGGAGGATTCTTTTAATATCTTGAAATGTAACAATGACTCTAAGTCATAAAATGAAAGTAAATAAATTCAACCACATAGAAATAATATCTTCCGCATGACAAAAGATAAATAAAAACAGAAGAAAATATTTGTAACTCAGATGCTCTTATATAAAGGAAGAAAATTTAGAATCCAAATTTGCATTTGCTTCTGTATGTATAAAGAAACTGGAAAAAAATCCACTGAAAATGAAGAACACTAGTTATTTATGGCAGAGGTGGAGTATTGGGTACAAGGAGGATAAGAATGGATGAGAAACTTTTCACTGTATAACTATTAATACATTTTGAATTTAAACCAGGTGAATATGCTGCCTATCTGAAAAGTTAAATTTTTAAGAAGTCTCTGCTCTCCTGTAACTTACTTTCCAGTGCAGGGAGACAGATGGTAAACAAATAAATATATACTTTGGATCATAGTAAGATAACTAAATCTGCAAATTCAAGGAATTTATTTAATATGCTTCATTAAATTCATAGTGCCTCATAAATAGTGAAGCACATACTAGCAGCTCAATAAATACTTTTTGAATATTTAAGTCCTATTTGTATGATTATGTTATTATTCTACTTCCTTTCAATGAAAGGACCTAGATCATCAACTGAAAATATAACAAATTATGGGGAGCCTGGGTGGCTCAGTTAAGCAACTGACTTCAGCTCAGGTTATGATCTCATGGTTTGTAAGTTCAAACCCCACATTGGGCTTTCTGCTGTCAGCGCCTTTCTCTGCACTTTCTCTGTCCCCTTCTCTCTCTCTCTCTGCCCCTCCCTTCTCATGCTTGCTCTGTCTCTCTCTCTCAAAAAAAAAAATTACATATATCAAACTGTACCTGTTGCCAATAGTATTGGGAACATGTATCTTCAGTTCTTCCGTGACATCCCTCATCACCCTCTGATAACCAGACATTCCTGAGTCTTTGATATAATAAGGATTGTTTCTCATTAAATATTCCCCCAAATGACTAATTGGATCAAACTTGGTTGTAATATCAGCTTCTGCCCAAAGTTTCTTCTTTTCCACTTGCATTAACATTTTTTCCACTCCAGGAACTAAGGTGGGTAGAAGTTTGTCAAGCAAATATGCACGAGTTTTAAGTGTCATGTTTTCAGTATTAAACCACTCTTTGGCCAAATTATTTCTAGGGAATTTTTTTTCAGCCTTTTTTTCTAGTTCTTTCTTCAGATTATCCTTATTTATTATTTTCTGCTGCATTGCCTGGGCTCTTGCCTCCACTCTTTCGTAAAAATTTTTCTTCCATGGCTGTTCTAGCTTTGAATTCAGTACATCTGGATCTAAGTTGAAAATCACTTTGGCAGGTTTTCTAACCACAAAATTCTTTGAGACATTAGTGTCAGAGTCCTTTATTAAATCAGTTGAGGCTTTTGTTTGCTCTTCCAAGTGTATTTCTGAGGAGGAAAAAAAAGTGAAATGTAAGAAATACTAGAAGTAGATTTTAATCTATGTTACTTTAGAATATTATTTTTAAAGAGGAGGAGGGAAGATGGCGGCGTAGGAGGACGCTGGGCTCACCGCGCGTCC